CACCACCTGCCCGACTTTTATTTCCATATATTTTTAGTAGGCCAATTAATATTATTTCTATTTTTAGTAGAGACTGAGGCGGGGGGAGGGAGGGGTCTCGCTCTTGCTCAGGCTGGTCTCGAACTCCTGACCTCGAGCGATCCTCCCGCCGGCCTCCCAGAGTGCTGGGATGACAGGCGTGAGCCACCGCGCCCGGCCGGTTTTGTGTTTATTGTTGTCTGTCTTAACATAACCTGTATACTAAGTAGAATGAGGGAATTTATGGAATTTAAAAGACGGTGTCTAGTTTGACATTAATGCTTTCTGTATTCTTCCCTGGTGTTCCCTTAAAAAAAAAAAATTTGCATTTGGAATTTGAACATACACGTTGCTGACCCTGTTGTTTTTGTCTCTGCCCGCTTTAGTCTAACGGGATTGCAGCCCTCATTGTCATTCTGGTGCTGCTGCTCCTCTTGGGCATCGCTTTGATGTGGTGGTTTTGGCCCCTTTTCTGCAAGGTGGTAAGTAAGAACGATCTGCAACTCTCTTTTATTTTTATTTTTATTTTTAATCAGTAAGATGTAAAGTAAAGCCTGAAATGGGAATGCATGCCACATTGTTCAAAAAAAAAAAAAAAAAAAAGCAAAGGTTCGGTTGGCTAATTGAATTTTAATTGTATTTTTTTATCACTATAGTGAATTCTAGAAACCATGCATGCCGATACATTAATTTAAAAACGTCATCTAATGAACCACGTTAAAATCAGGTTTGCGAGAAGGAGGGGAGAGAGGTATCGGGGAGGTAGTTGAGATAGAGGATGTTTGCACTCCAGTGCAAGAGAAATTCAAGCAATCGAATGTTTCTCTGTTGGATTCATCAGGAGAAGTTGATAACCCATCGGGTGGGTTTTGTTTTTCTTAGGTGCTTATTGAATCTTTTATTTCTTCTTTGAAGGGTCTACTCTTTCAGGGCCTTTTTTGATTGATTGCCGTCCCGAGAATGAACACAAGCACCACGTGGCGCTGGCACCAGCAAAACTAGTTTGCACGATCAGCACCTAATGGAGCCACCCACCCAGGAAGTGACATCTGTCGGGTGGTCGGCAGCGTGGCAGGGAGGCGAGGGACGGCTGTGAGACAACACCGACAGTGAGACGTGGCCAACCGCCGGGATGGGCCCCACGCCCGTGACTCTTGATCGAGGGGGACAGGGGGGTCAATATATCGTGACTCTTTGACATTTGACGCGGCCACCTAATATCTGAAATTTTTAAAAAACAAATAGGGGCAATGTGCTTTGGAATTTATTCCCCTAAAACCATGGCCCCCCCTCCCCCCTCAGCCCCCAAGTCTATGGAAAAACTGTCTCTGCATGGAAACCGGGGCTCGCCTGCGTGACCAGACGTTGGGGACCCGGCTGGCGCTCTTAATCCACTAGTTTCCAGCTAAGCATGTCCAACTGTCCACACTTCTGTTTAGAACAACCTCTGCCTCTCGCGCCTGTATCTCTAGCAGT